TGGCAATACGGCCAGTCTGTACAAACCTTTGGAAAGGCTGTAAAACAAATAAAAACATGTATATATGATTATAATGACGAAAGTTATTAGCGCCTCCACGTTTCTGTCAGCAGCTACCACGGGGGATAGTACCACGTGAAACAGTTTTACAAATACATTTTTAACACTCGAAACGCTCTAGAAAATTAATTAATTTATTGCGAGCCATTGTGGCAAAACACCACATTCGTTTACTAATTGTTCACATTTAATTTGCCCTTTTTTAAAACGTTTTGCGAGAAAACAAATTTAGCCGTCCCCTTACCATGGTTAACCGGAAAGAAAGAAACTTGGCTGCAGTTGCACTAACAAGAAAAATTCAACGTCAGATCACTGAACCGTAACTAGGCAATGAAGAAATCGCGATGACAGTCCAGAGGTGTTAAACCAAACATTAGATGGAATCCCGTATTCCTCGGACTAAAACTAATAAAACTGTCAAAAAATAAAAATTCGCTCCGAGGGAGAGAGTAACATTGAAGAGTACGGGATCGCTTTTTAGTAAAAATGGTAACTTCTGTCAACTTCAACATAACCTCCAAGTTTTGGTTGTAAATATTTGCTTGATTTGTATGTAAACACACGCAGCTCACTCATGTAAATAACCAAAAATACTTTCAAATTCATTAGAATCCACTTAAACAAGTAATTAGATTATTTTCAACATGAATTAGCAGAGTGCACTTTTCGTTTGTTTACAATTTGGTTGCCAAACACATTACAGCTTATCGTTTGACACGTTTACCAGAATTTACCAGCAAAAAATTCTCGGACTAAAACTGGTAACTTCTGACAGAGAGAGAACCGTGTTTACTCTCTTTTTTGTACTCTTAATAGTCAGAGAACCGAGTACGGTATCGATTTCCAGTAAAATCTGGCTAATTCTGACTACAATTGGGAAAACTGGAACGTCGGTTCTATATGGCAGAGATGTCTGTTTTCGAAAAACATCAATGCATCGATACATTGACTATTTATTCATCGAGTGGAAAATTTTCGATGCATCGAAAAAAAACATCGATATTTTCGATGCATCACTAGTCAAATTGACAAATATAAAATTTGTGTGTTTTCGTTTATTCTGTCATTTTCTATATTAAAGTGATTTAATTTTTTT